TCAGTACTTTTCTTGCTGGTGTGCCACGTTTTGAGGATCACTGAGAAACTGTGGCATAAATCCCATCTTTCCAAGGATTCCCTGTAGCAGTGCCTGCCTCGGGGATGTGCTCCCTGCCTCTCGCCGCCCACCCGCAGCGGATCCGGAGCAACCGTCGCACAGCGGGCTGGGGGCGACACGGACGGGGTCTGGGCGAGGACCGAGCAGGATTTGTGCGGGGTTTGGGAGGGGCAGCGGCTGTGTTGGGAAGCCTGGATCTCCGGGCAGGACTGCTGGAGGCACGAGTGGAGCTGTAAGGGGTGCAGGTTTTGGCGGGCCCCCCCCCAGAACCTGGGGTTGGGGTGCTCAGCCACCCCGAGCAGGGACTAGGCGGTGTGGGGGTCCCCGGGCCCTGCAAACCCACAAGTGGCAGATTAAGGCTGGACGCCTTTTTGAGCTCTGTTGGTTAATTCCTAAAAAAAATTTTTTTTTTTTTTTTTTTATTTTATTTTTGCACCTGAAAAAGCTGGTTTAGCCAAGAAATAGCTCCCTCGGGTCCTTCCTGGCGTTTGTCGGGTAAAGAGTGAGAACAAAACTTCATCTTGTGGTTGACATTGTTGGGATCGCCCATCCCGTGCGAGGGCTGGGGACCGCTCCGGCTCACTGCCCCGGCCGTGGGCAGCTCCTCCAACCGCTGGGATTTCGTTAGGCTAACTTCCACGGTGAAAACCCCGGGAGAAACCCCCTTCCTCCTGCCGTGACTACGCTGCCGGGCTTGAATTTTGACATCAGACACCGGGTTTTTTCCTGCCCTTGTGTAGCCGCCGAGGGCTCGGGGCTATTTTTATCCGGCGCTGGCAGTGGCTGGAGGAGGACGCGGCTTCCCTGGCCTGCACAGCCCTCGCCTCCCTCTCATCAGCTGGCTGAGGCTCCGGCGCTGCCGTTGACTTTATTAGGGAAAAGCAAGGTGCTCCTGAACGGCCGGGAGGAGAGAGGGGCTGGGGAAAACATCCCAGCCCCGGGGCCGGGGGGCTGCCGCAGGGCTTGGCTCCGAGGGCGAGCGCTTGATCCCATGGTGCCAATTGAAGAGGGGAGGAATGAATTGAGATGCCCCGGCGGGAGCGTTTCACCGGCCACGTGAGGACCCGGGAGCGAAGGAGATGAGTCGGGAGGGTGATGGCATGGGTGACGTCATCAGGAAAGCAGCCGAGCCGGCCGGGGAGGGGAGTTATAAAAAGGTAAGGGACAAAAAGGAGCCTTTTGTCTGCCAACAGACTCTCTCTTGGCAGGAGGGGGACCCGCCGAAACGCTGCCCAACACCCTCCCGGAGCGCTGGGTTTTGGGTGCCGGAGCAGGGAAGCGCTCAGAGGTGTTTAACATGCTGGCACGAGGTAGCAAACCTTCCTCCCCCTGCATTTCCGTATCACTTCATGATAAAGAAAATGTAAAGGGATGTTTCGAAGCATGTCCTCGTCCATCGAGACCCCTAGGTTTTGAGGCAATTTGCCACGTGGCTTGAGATAGGCAAGTTAGACTCGGTTTTGCGTTTACCAGCAGATCCCCTGTGAAGAAAAAGGAGATAAAAACAAATGTTCTGCGGTTACAATTTCTGTTTGTAAATCCAAGAATAGCCCTTGTGCTTTACAGAGATAAAATAAGGTGCTGTCTGTGAGTCTGGAACTTTAAATATAGTAATTGTCCATGGCTGGTAATGACAGACCCTGGCAAAAATAGCCTTGGTGGCCTGGCCTTGTCCCGGTGTTCCTGGCCGGGGCCAGGCACAGGCTGTGCACCCTCTTTGGTGCTGGTGGGTGGCCCTGGCACCCAGCCTCGCTGCCTTGTAACCCCTGGCATCGCCCAGCAGTGGCACTGCCCGGCTGGGACGGGGTCAGAGCAGTGCTGGCACCCGTTCATCTGTATTTCACTGGGTGGTTCGACTTTCCCCTCTCCAAACGGGCAGCGCCTTTGCAAAGCACGGCCGGTATTTGGTCCGGGTTTGATACCGATCAGTACGACTCCAAAAGTGCTGGCACCAGCCGTTTCTGGGAGCTGGCTGCTCTACCCAAGGTGAGGGGTCTCGGAGCACGACGAGGAGCCTGGCAAAGCGCTGCTGCACCTCAACACCAAAGAGGTTTTCCATGTGCCATTTTACGTGCTGTTTCGGGTGATGCCTGTAATGCTGCTAGTACCGGTGCCTGCGTGCTAAATAGTGTGGAGTGTACATGCTGAAAAGAGCAGTCCAGCTACTGTTTCTTCAGTGGCATAAATAACATAGTATGGACTTTGCTCGGTTTCCCAGAAAACTGCAGAAATGTTGTGTGCCCACTGCCATGGGCGTCCGCTCCCCATCCTGCATCGGATGGGTCGGGGCGGCCGCCGGCATCAGCGGTACCTCCCTGTGCCCCCAGCCATGGGGTCCTATGGGAAGAAGGCACATATTGGATAAATTTAGGCTCTCAACCAAAAATGTGAGATTTGGGGGGGGCTGGACGGCGTGTCGGTGGTGGGTGGTGAAGAGCACAAATGGTTGTGTACGATCTGCAAACGCCGGAGGGGTGGTGGCAATGGGTTTATAAATAGAGATCGTGACAGCGGGCGATGGGGCTGGGAAGCGGCGTGCCGAGTCCACGGTGGGGAAAAGCTGAACCTCTCCTGGCAGTTTGCCTTCACTGGAACGGTTGTGTGAAGCATTGTACATGTAGGCAGTCACGGCTGTAATCTGACATTGTGTTTTCATTCGTGTACTTAAACAAAGGTAGCTACTGACCTTCCGACTTAGAAGGTCGACGGTAAGAAGGAAAACATCCGCCCAAAACTGTTTTGCCTTAAAATAAAAAGCAGCCTTTTGTTTAAAATAATTGTCTGAACCAAACTTCAGCTTTGCACCAGACCCCTCTTTCAGAAATACATACATTTTTTGATTGAGTGTCAAAATACACATTCAAATAACATGGGGTTATGTTTTTTCTTGCTCTAGTACCTTTGCATTTTGAGTATTTGATCCACTATTTTTTTTATATACCAAGTAAGTATATTTGATAGTCAAAAAACCATTTGCAGTTTTCCTTCTCAATTTATAGTTTTCAATGCCCAGCTCAGGGTGTATACTGCAGATGTCGGGTAATTTATCTAAAGCCTAAAGTCCAGTTCCCTTAGGTATATTCTGTTTCTCAGTAACTATTCCCTATTTTATGATAACAAATAGGACTCCTGGTTTCTTTATGGTCATTAGCCTGTGTCTGGTTTATAAAATGGGATATTCTGAGCTCAGTCCTGGGAGTAGTGTTATTTAGTATCCTCAGTAATGACCTGGTGGAGAAAGCAAATTGCACATTGATTAAACGTACAGATGTCAAACTGGGAGCAGTTGCGTCTCGGTGGGAAACGGAGCAAAATTTGTTTTTTAAAAGATCTGGAGAGACAGCCCCATCTGAAAGGGGTAAGTATGCGAAAGTGTGCCTGTATTTATGTGTATTTTAATGCAAAGAAGAGTAGTCTTCAGCGTACACAGAGTAGGTGGGCATGCTGCTGAGGGAGGGAGCGGTCCCAGCTGGCGTGGAGGCTGGGATGTGCCATCCCAGCTGGGCAGGAGGAGGTGGAGATGTGCTTTGGGCTCCTGATTTCTGCCGGAACATGAGGGAAATCAGAAGGAGATGGGAAGATGTGGGAGAGGATCATCTGAGCTGGAAAAAGGGGGAGGCTAAGTATCCGTGACTTCATGAAATATCGATGCTCCGAGGGATGCAGCTGGCACTCCACATGGATCGTGAGATGGGCAGCACGAGACACTGGCACGGGCAACCCTCTCTCTGCTTTCAGCCCATTAAAAAAATATTTCTTACTCATTTTTACTTATTTTTTTTCACTGCGTGGCCTTCACTGGCGGCAAGGCTGGCTATTTGTTCTTCTAAATCTAACTGCCTCTGTGTGATTGAGGCATCGATTAGTGAAAGCCGAAAAAACAAAGTAGAAAAACATAGCTGGGCCGTCTAGGTAGAACTTTGGAAACCAGGAGCTGAACTCAAAATCTTGATATCCCTTGATGCCATGGGGGTTATTTTTAATATTTGAAATAAAAGGAGTTAGGTTACAAATGGAGTATGTGTGCTGGGAAGGGATTGACAACATAATGGGCAGTGTGATAATGTAATGCATGCAGTCATCCCTGGAGTTGGAATTAAATTATTAGCTATTTTAAGTTGATAATTTGCATTTTGTAATATCTCACTTCCTTGTATCAAAAAAGGTGCTTTATTTTTACTTAGGTGAAACATGGGAAGCACAGTTATATTAATTAACACCATGGAAGCAGCCCATGCTTGCCTGCTATGTTTTCTTTTGTTACGTATTCTTGATTGGGTATTATGTGTTATTTTAAAATGAAACGTTTGAGGGCTTCAAAATGTTCCTTCTATCAATAACTTGCCGCCTTGTATGAATCTGTTGTCAGCGTTGGCACATAATCCATTAGTGACAGACACCGGGATGGTGTGGGTACTAGTTTCGAATCTAGATCCGTGATTTTCATTTATTGCGCATTGATTACACGGTCATCTCCATCATCATTGATCAGTGATAAATTTCAAATCACTTTGTAGTTTGCCTGTATTCAAAAAAACCCCATGTGTATATATATATATATATATAAAAATATGGTTTTAAAACTGAATAATTTGATGGCAATGGTTTAAAATAAATCTCTAAGCGTGTTGGCAGAAGGATTGTGTGGTTTTGGAGGCTGCTCAGGGAAGTGGAAGATGCTGATGGTGCAAGTGTGGCCTTGGTGGCTGTGTACGGGTAGAGGTACAGATATCAGTATATATATTAGGTATATATCAGATGTGTGTGTATATATAGATATATATATAGATCAGCACGTGGAGAGAGTGGGCTTCCCTGTTGGGATGGGCTGCGTGGGCCTGGTGCCGGGCATCACGAGCGTGGTGGCGGTGGGGCTGGTGGGACAGACAACTCCCTCCTGCGCTCCGGCTTCATCCTTTCTTGTCGCCCTTCCCTTCCAGGCCCAGAAGAATGAGCGGGAGTCCATCAGGCAGAAGTTGGCTCTGGGCAGTTTCTTTGACGATGGCCCGGGACTGTACACCAGCTGCAGCAAGAGCGGCAAGCCGAGCCTCTCCTCCCGGTAAGCCGGGCGGCCTCACAGCCCCAGACCTCTTTGGAGGCTGAAGAGTGTGAGATGCCTGCAGTGGGACATCCCGAGACCTGCCCTTCCGAGGATCCCTCAGTTTTTGCATGCAACCATAACTGTTGAATTTTCCTTGTTTTAGAACAACGTCTTATGCTCCAAACACAATAGTTGTATGTTATGTAAATAATTGTAAGTTATGTCCTAAAAAATTAGTTTCAAACTGTGTAGAATAGATACTTGGATGCTCGGGGGATAAAGCACATGATCTGAAGTTTCCTGAGTTAGCTTTCCTTCAGGTTTTCGTTTAGGAATCTCTGCCCTGAACTGAGCATTGCCTTTAGCCTTGGGCAGACCAAGAATGGTGGTAGAAGTACCGTGAATGCACTACTGGAGTAATTGTCAGGAAAACAGTTGATTAGGTTTTCGTTTGGTTTGGTTTGGTTTTCCAATGAGTTCTTTATGTTGAGTTGCAAAATACTGAGGATTTTAATGTCCGAACACCTGGTTTCATGCCAGACGTGGGTGTCCGAAGCAGGGCAGGGCTTGAGGGTGGTCCCATGGTCCCACCAGACCTGGGCCAGGCAGCGTGGTGACGGTTGGTGAAAACCCGTGACTTTGTGAAAGCTCATCATCCTTCGGTGGCTCCCCGTTGGAAGCAGATCTGATGCTGATAGCTAGCCCTGGTGACAGCAGGGCAGCGGAGAGCGATTAGTCTCATGCGCAGAAAGCACCAGAGAACGGGAAAAAAAATGAGCTTTAATGTGGCTCCCTGCCTACCCCCCCAGGTCTGCATGCTCCGTGCAGGCTCTACTCGCTGGACACGACTCCATCCCTGGGGTTGGCACACTGCACAGCACGGGTACCTCATTTATTCTGATTTTTAACATTTCTGCGTCAAATACACTCCAGAAAGGCTTGTTTATATTCAGCTGCTGGTGAGTAACCCGTGGCACTGGGGAAGCGTTGAACGCTTCCCACCTCGGGAGTGAAGATCTACCTGTTGCCATGGTGTGGGAGAGAAAAGAGTCTCGGAGAGGCATAAAGCCAGGAGGAATACTGTTATTACACCAGAGAGGTACAATTGTGAAATTAAATTGAACTGCAAGTCATTTGAAAGGGAAAACAGTTTTGCTCTGTGTAGTTACAGCTAAACCAGGAGCTGCTATCTTGTAATTACAGCGCGGGTCTAATTAACGCAGTGTGGCAGGGTTTGGCAGCTGTGCCACGAGAAATTACCAGCTGTACCTGAACGCTTTGGCGTTTCGTTAATATTTATAGTCCAGGCAAAGCGTTCGGATCGCACGCTGCTGTTACAGGGCCGACGGGGACCTTTGCCGGGCCGTTGCTCTTGTGCTTGCACGTGAAAGAAAAGGGGATAAATACCCAGGTTTCAGGCGTTGGTGTTGAAAGAGGCATGAGTCGTGCCCGTGTTTTGCTCTTGCTTTGCCTGTGATGCAATTTTAAGCCGAGCCGAGGGTGCGTCCTGCTCCCCAGCCTGGCTACCCCTGTCCACGCAGCGTGGCTTACAAGTTTCTGCAGAATTATAGAAAAGAATCATGGACTGGTTTGGGTTGGAAGGGAGCTTTAAAAAGCATGTAGTCCAACCCCTTTGCCATGACCAAGGAGGTCTTCAGCTTGACCAGGTTGCTCCAAGCCCCGTCCAACCTGGCCTTGAGCGTTGCCAGGGATGGGGCACCCACCACCTCTCAGGGCAACCTGTGCCAGTACCTCACCACCCTCGTCATAAATAATTTCCATTATTACTGCTATTTTATGGGAATAGTGACTAAGAAATTCCACTAAAATAAATGGAAAATAAGAGTTTGCTGTCTGCAAATAAGCCGCCCCCGGTTGAGAATGAGGAATAAGAGGCAGCAGAACGTGGCGGGGGGGTGGCCCCAATGTTAGCGGGTGGTGATGGAGTACAATGCACCGAGAAGGCTGACAGAGTTGAAATCTCTAGTTTCTGGGGTTAATTTTTAACGACTTTGGAAGCTGTGCAAAGCCTGAGCAGATTTTGTAGGAGGCAAAAGGGCCTGACCCTGGTGTCAGGTAGGCGACTTGTCCCGGAGACCCCCGGGGGTCTCTGGGGCTGGGCTGGTGGCCGCAGAGCTGCTCGGCAGCGTGAGCCGCAGCAGGGGCTTTCACAGACACCCCCCCCCCTTCTTGTCCCCCAAAAAATCTCTTCCCTTGTTTGCTCTCAGGGGAGAGCAGAGGGAGCCGTGGGGTCCCCAGGGAGCTCGGTGTGGCAGCACCAGCACCGGGGACGCGAGCGGTACCTGGCCGGTGCCCGGCTCTGCCGCGGGGATGCCCCTGCCCGGAGCTGCTGCGCCGGCCGGAGAAAGTCGCTCCCGGGGGGTGAATTCGGGTGGTCTTAACCTGTCCTGGTGGGGTGGTGCTGCAGGGGGTGCGGGAAACATGGTAATAATGGACAGTAGTACCTCTTGGCTGCAAACAGGCATATTACCCTTCTGAAGAAATAGTTTCAATTGTTAACGCATTATTTTGTATAATGCAATCATATTTCTATATATGATTTCTATCTTTACATGTAAATATATTATTTATATATTTTTCATATACATCGTAATATGAATATATAATCTATATAAATTTAATTGATATGTATAGTAAATTATATTTATATTTTTATATATTTACATGTAAATATATTATATATTCATATATTAAATATAGCTACATTATATAAAAATAGTATGTTATATATATTATTATGTACTATATTTTATATAGGCTATATAATAATTTATATTCTATACATAATATATCATATCATATATTATATATATTGTATTTAGAAATATGATTGTGTGTGTAACGTGTATATATATTACAGATTTATATATGTATGTCATATCTAAAATAAGTTCTATTACATATAATAATATATACATCTTACAGATACAATCACATTTTATATTGTTTATATACTACTCTATAAATTGGGTGTATTTATATATAATATTCTGTATGTTATATTCATATATTTGCTATATTGTCTATCAGCTTTATATATAATATTTTATTTAAGGTAGTAATACAGCCGCCCGTGATGACAGAAGCCCTGCAGTGTCTCAGTAATTCTGCAGTTCATCAATAGATGGTGGTAGAACCGTTGTCGTTACCGTGCAACTGTTCCCGGTGCCGCGCTGCACCGTTGCCCAGAAATGGCAGCGGGCGCTGGCCGGTGCCCAACCGCTGGGGGCCCTGGCTCTGCTTTCGGGTGGGGGACGACCCCCTCCTTGGGGGAAAAAAGAGGGGAAAACGGTTATATTTTCCTGAGGCCGCTACGACACCAGGCCACCAGCATCCTTCCGAACCGCGCCCGACTCGCTGCCGACGGCGCGGCGGGGAGAGCCGCGGGGTGCCGGCGCGAGGCGGGGAGGGGGGGGGGGGACTGCGGCGTCACCTCTCCCTTTGCCCCCGCAGATTACAAAGTGGGATGAACCTGCAGATTTGCTTCGTGAACGACAGCGGCAGCGACAAGGACAGCGACGCCGACGACAGCAAGACGGAAACCAGCCTGGACACGCCGTTGTCGCCCATGGTGGGTCTGGGATGCCATCCCGCCGGGGCGTTGGAGCGCGGAGACCGTAGGGCGTCCGTAAGGGAAGCTAATAAAGAGCTGACCCAGTTAAATAAACCCCACGGCAGCATTTTCAGCCATCGATTAAAAAAAGGCGAGATGCTGAGGCGCAGAGAGCAAACCACCCCTGGCTAGCGCAGCGCTGCCGTAGATCAGATGCCATCATGGGAAGATGTCCCTTCTTCCCTCTTTCCTCCCTTTCGTTTTGGCTCTGAGAATTATCGGGGCGGTAATGGGTGCAAAGTGCTATCAGCTCCCACCAGCTTCCCTCTCCTCTCTTTTCCTTGGTGACCATAGCACCGCGGCCCTAGATGTTTTCCTTCTGCTTAACCAGTCTGTCCCTTCAACACCTATTGATTTGGTTGGCTCCTCTTTCCATTTAAAGTGCTCAAGTTGCTATTTAATAGTCAAGGGGGCCTATCGGGGAATTACTCTGACTTTTAAAGATAATCTTGTGGTTTAAAGTAAAAAAAAAAAAAAAAAAAACAAAACCTGCGCTCTTCACCGTTTCTGTAGAAATTATGCCACGTGTAAGCGTTCAAAAATATGTTAAGCCAACAGCAAATGTCTTTGCTGAGGCACGGTTGGGGCGACGGGGCTCTAACAGCTGCGTGTCTGCTTCCCTAGAGCAAGCAGAGTTCGTCCTACTCCGACAGAGACACGACGGAAGAGGAGTCGGAGTCCCTTGATGACATGGATTTCCTCACCAGGCAAAAGAAACTCCAAGCTGAAGCCAAAATGGCCTTGGCTATGGCGAAGCCCATGGCCAAAATGCAGGTCGAGGTGGAAAAGCAGAACAGGAAGAAATCGCCGGTAGCGGATCTTGTAAGTGGGGGGCTGTGGGATGTCATGGGGGGGGGGGGTTTAACTCCAGCCCTTTTGCTGTTTCCTTTGCCTTGTTGAGACACGTGTGCCGGTCAGTGGTGCTTCTTCATGGTGCTTGTTGGCACGCGGATGGAGCAGTGGAGATAGGGACCGGCTGTCAGGAGTTGAAGGGTCAACATGGGTCGTTTTATCGGGGCGTTACAGGGGCGGGATGCGTGCAGGGAATGAGGTGATGAAGCGTGAAGGTTGTTACTGCCTCGAGGCTGGCATGATGCTGCTCATCCTTACGTTGTAGCCTGCTCGTCCCATCCCATCCCGGCGCACTCCTGCCTTGGTACAACACTGCTCGCCATAGGCTTCGCCTCCCTTCACATCAGTACATACTGCTGATGCTGGTGGATTTGAAGACTTGGGTGAAACATTGCATGGGTGTTTCAGCTCGAGTTGGTAGTCCCGGTGGAGTGGTCGATGCATGCTTGTGAGAGGAGGGGGTGCAAGCAGTGTGAACTGGCACTGCTCAGAAATACAAATAGTTCAAAGAAAACGGTAAAGAATTGAAAATTTCTTTTCAGCTGCCACACATGCCTCATATAAGCGAATGCCTGATGAAGAGAAGTTTAAAACCCACCGATCTAAGAGACATGACTATTGGGCAGCTACAAGTGATAGTCAATGATCTCCACTCACAGATAGAAAGTAAGTGATATTTGTTTAATTATTCTTTGGTATGTCCCATTTAATTAAGAACAGTTCTCCAGGATGCACATAGAAATTTTGGTAAATGTTCGATAAGATGGGTAGATGGAAGAGGCACCCTGCAGTAGTTGGAGATTGAGCTCTCCCCAGATTTGGCTTCTTTGGCTTTTTCCTTTTTTTTCAGTTGGCTCTGGAATGAGGAGGGGTGTAGCTTTGTGCCAGCACCTAACACCCCTCTTGTAACTCAAAACCTGGGCGGGTAAAAATAGTCTTGGGAAGTCTGTCTGTCCTAGAAGCACGTGCCACTCGTGGCTTTATGGCTGCGTTCTTCATGTGATGCTACGCCATCATCAAAACCCTCCATAAGTGGGGACGTTCTCCGGTTTCGCCAACGTCCCGGGGTAAATCCACCCTTGCAGTGCTTCAGCGCATTTCATGGGTCCTTCCGTTCGCCTGCAGGGCCAGTGCCTCATCTGTCTTCGCTCTCTCCAAAAGATCCAGGGGGTTTTTCCCCCCAGGGGATCTCCATCTTCCAATTAATTAATTAATTAACAGGTTTGGGGTAGACTTCTCTGGTGGCCGTAGGTCCAAAAAAAGGAAAACAGGCTGGCTGGGGGCCGCTGTGCTGCTCCTTCCCTACGCGCGTTGGTTAATTGGCATCCCGTCTGGAAGCAGCCCTGCTGAGGATGGAGAGCCGCGCTGCTGAGTCGTGATTTGTTATTTTGTGCTGCAAAGGGGAAAAAAAATTAAAAAAAAAAAAAAAAAAAAAGAAAAGAAAGCTTATTAATTAGCCTTACTTTAGAAAGCACTCAAGTGTGGGAGCATGAGTGTTAATGTCATTGATACCGAGCTTGCTTCCCAAACTGAAGAGGCATTAAACCAGTATAGCTCTATTTAAGCAGTGGTGACGGGCAGATCCAGCCTTCAGGGGAGCCCATACCAGCAGGTTAATTTTGCAGAAGGCCCTTTTTGTTTTCTTCTTATTATTCCCCACTCTTTGACACATCCCTGAGAAAGAGCCCAACATCATGAACAAGCTCTGAGAAATCCATCTTTATCATTGCTGCTACCCTGAGCTATTTTGAGGGAGGATCTGCTTGCCTGCAGCGGCGAGGGGGTTACGGTTTATCGCAGAAAACACAAAAATCTCCGTGCCTCTCCCCAGCATCGTGTGCATACTCTGGGGGGGGGTCCCTCCCAGTCCTCTGCCCCAGCTTACGTGTAGTGTGGTGGGAAGGCCGACGTAGTCATCCCAAACTGGGGGTCCCTGGGTCATCACAAACTCACCCCCTTTCTCCCCGGCGCCAGGCTTGAACGAGGAGCTGGTGCAGCTGCTGCTCATTCGGGACGAGCTGCACACGGAGCAGGACGCCATGCTGGTGGACATCGAGGATCTGACCAGGTAAAGGAGGTTCCTCAGGGTATTTTTCTCTCCTCACACGTCCCAGCTTGCTGTCAGCAGCGTGTAGGGGTTTTCTTTTCGCAGAATTTCACCACTAAAGCTTTTGCCTTCAAAGGTGAGGGCTGAGCAGGACGCTGCTGTCTCCTCCAGAACAAGAAATCAAGGCACGTGGGTTCTGGAGAGCGTCAGCAGGTTTCAAGAGCTGCCCAAACACAGGTGTTGGTGCCTGCTCTGGAACTGGTGTTTCCCTTTCCGAGGCTTGAAAAGAGCCTCGGATGCTGCAGACCCTCAGTGCATCCAAGGAAAATCCGTGTCTCCCTGTGTCACCCCACTCCTCTCGCCGGGGTGAGCTGCAGCCCATCTGCCTCCACCGTCAGCCGGGCTTGACTGAAGGAGAATTTCTGAGTCTCTTAAATATTAATGTTCAACAGCCAACTAAACAGAAAGCCTTGCAGAATATAGGCAGGTTTCCTAAAGAACTCCATCTCCCAGGCAGCAAGACTTAAGAGGCATTTTCCTTTGAGATAAGTAGTGATGCACTGCAGAAACACTAAGAAATATTGAAAACTTCGGGGAAAAAAGGCTGAGAAAGATGATACTGGTTATTGTCAGTGCATGAGGACTGCGGTTCCAGAACTGAAGCATTAAGCTTGCAAAAAATACGGCCTAAATTAGTTTCTATTTTAAAACATCGTGGTGCTGCGTTGAGATTTGGCAGTGCTCTGGATGGAAAAAGTTTCCGCCAGCTGGAGTGGCCAGGAGGTATTTGGGGAGCAGTTTGTTGCCCGGGGACGGTGGCCCCAGGGACAAGCGGGCTGGTTGCCATCTCTGGGTCTTGCAGGAGACCATTGCTGCTTCCCTTAATGAAGAGCAAGAGATGAAAGGGGGGGGATTTGAGGTGGGGGTCAGTCGGCCAACGCCACCTCCCATCTGTTTCTCCTCCTGTGCTTCGGGAAACATTTTGCTTCCTAAATGCAATTAAGGGCAGTTTAGTAAATTTAATTTATTGGGAAGCCGCTCAGCATGGTGGGGGCTTTGGTGCGTGGCGGGGGGCACCGGCCCTCCCCATCGCCGTGTTGTTGGGGCCATCCCTGCAGGAGGGGAGGAAACGATCCCAGTGGACCCAAAACTTCTCTGGGGAAAGGTTTCCTCCCCTCCTTATTCACATCCCGGTCCCCTCTCCCCGCGACGGAGCCCGGGCAGGGACCGCACATCACATCCCTCGCCTGCTGCTTGTGTTTGGGGTTTTTTTTTTGTTTGTTTGTTTGTTTTCTTTGGCTTTTTGGTTTGGGTTTTTTTGGTTTTGTTTTGTTCGGTTGGGTTTGGTTTGGTTTTGCTGTTGTTTTTTTTTTTTTTTTTTTTTTTTTTTTTTTTCTGGGGAAACTGCTCGTTTCGGTCCGCTGCCGGATCCTGGCTTGGGTTTCCACCTCCCCTGGGCGCAGCGAGTAACGCGACTTCTCTCCTCCTCCCCAGACACGCTGAAAGTCAGCAGAAGCACATGGCAGAGAAGATGCCGGCAAAATGAACCCCGGAACCCCGGGAGCAGAGCTCGAGCGAGACTTCATTTTGCTTCTGTGTGTGTCCATGCGCTGATGTCCACGGTGGCGCACGAGAAAACCAGTGTTAGTCATTGACCATGTCTGAAGCTTTATGTCTGGTGATTGGCCTCTGCTTCTTAATTTATTTTAATTTTTTTACTCGTGCCACTAAATATCAGGCATTTTAATAATATTATTACAAAAAATGTACAGTACTTATAACATTATAAATCATGGGTGAGAAGAGAGGGTAGTTTAACTTTATTTTTGTTTGTTTAGAGATTTTCAGTTGAATGATATTTTACCATTGACTACTTTTTTATTCTTCACTGTAGTTTTAAAATAAAGAAACTGTACTTGACGGTGCTATACAAGTCAAAAAAAATACATGCCTGCCTCGTAGTGAAGTTGTAGCTTTCAGTAGATATGTATATTTTAATCAGTTTTCAACATTTTGTGAATGTTGACTACCTGACATTCATTTTTAGATGTGCTATTAACATTCGGTTGGATTCAGAGAGTTACCTTGAAAGTTTTATGTATAAATATGTAAAATAAAAATTTAAAAAATTGTTTCATATGATACGTCTTTTTGTTGCTTAGTGGTTGACTTTGGTGATGCACCAGTAATGTATTCCTCAAACTAAATGTGCAATTCCTAATCTGTCATCACCAGAAAGAGCCTTTTTTTTTTTTTTTTTTTGCCAATCACATGAAATAATGGAGAGAAGGCAGGATTTTTGTAGAGTTATTTATTTGTAAGTTCATAATGTATGTATGACATGGACTTAAGAGATTCTTCTATAATAACATTCACTGGGCCCTAATATTGTGACTATTGTTAGAATCAGCAGGCACATACCGTAGATGGTTTTTTTTTTTTATATTTTATTGTCTGGGCTAAATATTTAAATGACTCACCAATGTCAAAAATTAAAAAAAAAAAATCTATGTTAAAAATCTAAACAGCATATTAAATGTATTATATATGGTAATTACTCACCTCTCTGCCTTTGGACTGGGCTCCCCGTTAGCGGCTGTGTCCTCCTCTGCGCGTACAGGAGGAGGGACGTCAGGAGACTAATAGGTCTGTCTCCGTCCCTCATTTATTTGATTTAATGCTGAAAAAGCTCAGCCATCCCCTTCCTGAGGCTGCCCGGCCATAGCCAGCAGCAGACACACATGGCGGGCGCACCAGCTTTTTACATTTTAATTCTTTTGTCCTCGGGGGCAAATTCATCTTAGTGAAGGGGCTGGCTAATGACTTATTCAGGGTGTTTTCAGAAAAGCATGAGCTGCATTAAAATTTCATCCCTCCCCCCCCCCCCCGCCAAGAATGTATTTTATAAGATGACTTTTTTTTTTTTTTTTTCCCCCCCTTCTTTTTGCAGCAAGTGCAGGTTATGGAAGCGCCAGCCTTGGGCAGGGTTTAGAGGGGCTGGGCGTGGGGCGGGTTGCTTTAACTTAGGGTTGTTTTTCTTGTCCCAGACATTGCTCCGGGGCTTTCCAGTGGGCAGTCCCTGTCCCACAGCCCCCACGGGGTCCTGTGCCCTATGTCCCTGCCAGGCAGTGTCCCCAGGCAGGGTGCTGTGCCTGCCCCCAGCTTTTGCAGAAAGATGCTGGGACATGTTAGGCTGGAGACCCCTCGCCCGCAGACCGGGGACAATATAAATTCTTACTTTGTTTTTTTGGGTTTGTTTTTTTTTTTTGGAATCTATGCAGAAAAAATATAGATATATTGGCGGGGTGTTAGTTTCCTTATAGCTCTTGGTTGGCTTGATGCTGCTGTCTGCACGTGGGGAGACCTGCTGGGGTTTATATTTCTGCTCTGTAAGACGCCGTGTTCACAGTGTTCCGAGGCCCAAAACCGTCCCCGCGGGGCGCAGAGCTGGTGCCTCTGTCAGAAGTGGCTGTTGGGGTGAGGAGGTGCCTGCCGCTGGCTTTAAAGCATGGACAGCAAAAGCCCCAAATACCAAAAGTTTGCTCTCAGCTTTAAAAAAAAAAAAAAAAAAAGGCAAGAAAGCCCCCCCAGGGGTGCTCCGGTGTTCCCCCCCACCCTCTGCAGCCACCCCTGGCATCACCCCCAGCAGGGTCCAGCTCCTGGGGCACTGGGGTGAGGCAGCCTGGGCAGCCTGGAGTTTCATTCCTTTGCTAAGTGCCTTGAACTTGCTGAAGAGAACTAGTTATTCTGGTCACCTACCACTGGTTTTCCCCCCTTACATCCTTAGGGGGGTTGTTTTGTGTGGGGTTTTTTTGTTTGGTTGGTTTTTGTTTTGTTTTGGTTTTTTTTTTAAGAAAAAGCGTGTTTCTGGGTAACTGCATCTCCTTGGCTCTGTGTCCCATGTACCGAGGTGTCATGCTGGTGTGTATGATGGCAATGCTGTGGAATTAATGGATTAAATGACGTTTTTAAAAGAGAAAAGTGTTGCTTGGTTTCTGAGCTGCTGCTGCGACCTTCTCATGGGCAATATATATTTTGTCACCTATTTCTTTCTGGGCATCGGTCCCATTTTCCGAGTCTCCTGTATCCTCCTGGGTGGGTTTTCAGTTCCTCCTCCCCTTGTCCCCACCAGCAAACAAACCCTCTCGCACGGGCTGCCAGCCTTTGCAATGTTTGTTTTCTACAGGTTGCCCTCAGCTTGCTGTGCTCGATGGGAAAAGTACCTCCGGAGACTAGAAGTCACCAAAAAATACCTGATGCAGTCAGCAAAAAAAACCTACCCACCCCACCCCGGGCAATGGCACTGGGGGGGGTCCCACAAGCTCCCCGCATCGCCCAGCCTGCTGCCCTCCGGCCACCAGCCGCCTTTGGCTGTGGCTAACTCTGTATTTCCATGGGGAATAGCTGCTCCTCACAGCGTGGGGTTTTGGGGAGCCCCATGGGGGGTGTGGAATTTAGGGGTTTTGTTCTGCCTTGCTTGCCTTTTTTTTTTTTTTTTTTTTAATTCATTTTTTTTTTCTCTGATGGTTTTCTTCCATGAATGGGGCATTTATGCGGTTGCACTTGGGACTCCCAATATCAGCACTGTAAGCCTGGAGCCAAATTCCCCGGAGGAGACTCAGAGGGCTCTCAGTCAGAAGGTTGCTTTTGTGGGGTGAGCTCAGCAGGGACAGTAATAAGCAGCTTCTGTTATGACAGCAGCCACTGCTCCACTTTGGGGACCAGGATTTGACATCCAACCATCGCGTGCCTGAAGCGGCCCCCATGTCCAGTGCCCCTCACCCATAATTGGGGGGAAAAAAAAATATATATATATTTGGAGAAAACATTCAAATGACTACAAAAAAATATATATATATATATATTTGGAGAAAACATTCAAATGACTACAAATATATATATATATATATTTGGAGAAAACATTCAAATGACTAAAAAAAAAAAAAAAATCAAAGAAAAATGCAGGGGTCTTGGACAGGCTGGGGCAGGAAAATGTCCACCAGCGTTAGCTAATTCATAGCATGGGGTGGGGGGAAAATTAAAAAGCTGTAGAGCTGTGATAAATGGCTGCAAATGTGCTGCAGTTTCTCTGGCCGGGGTCAAGGGAGCATGGAACAACTTGAGTGAAATCTGTATCACACCACCCCCCCCCCACCCCCCCCAGCTTCTCTGTGCCTGAGGGTGCCAAAACCACAGCTCACCCAACAGAGAGCCAGGCTCTGCCAGCCTCTGGGGCAAGGACAAGCACAGAGCTTTGGGCAGCTTGGAAACAGTTTTAGAGCTTGTTTTTTAGCTGTTGAAACCCTCTTTTTTTTTTTTTTTTTGGTTTTGGTTTTTTGTTTTTTTTTTTTTTTGCATGGTGCCTGAATAGCTGGGCAGGGAAGGACCTGCTCCCCAGTGTGCCACGTCCTGTCCCCATCCTGCTCCCCTCCGACTCCAACTCAGCCAGTCCCAGCCATCCAAGGGAAATTCTGCTTGCTTTTCCTTGCCTGCCGCCAGCTGGTCTCACAACATAATGTTTCTTCATTTTTTTTTGACTCTGTCTCTTGGTCCTAAGCACACCTGTGCTTGAAAAGCATGAAGTGTTGCATTAAAAAAAAAAAAAAATTAATTCTGCTGTTTGAGGTACCAGCCTACTAATGTTAGAACAGACCTTGGAAACAGAGCTGTGCCTTATGAGCCAGATGCTGCCTCGCAAACAAACCTTGTGGCTTGGGTTCCCCTCTTTTATTTTGTTCTCTCTCTTTTTTTTTTTTTTTTTTTTTTTTGGTGAACTCACCCAGCGGCTCCCCGTGCATGGGACATGCTGCACATCATCACCCTGAGCACCCAGGGACACCCTGCCCCGGACTGTGAGCATGTAAAAGCACGGCAGAGCGTACCCACGGCCTTTTAATTTTCTTATTTCATCCCTCAAAGGAGAACCACTAATGAAGGGAGGAGAATGAAGCCGCACGTGGATTCGGGTGAGAAGGGTTGGGGTGGTGGGACACCACCCCGTGCCCACAAGTTCCCCCCTCCCAGCCCACTCGAAGAAGCTCCCCGTTGCTCTGCACTGCTGCCGGGGAAGGTTATTAGCAGGAAGACGCTGGGTTTTTTAACCTTTTTAAAGCAAACCCATCCTTGCACAGCTCAGCTTTGCAGAGGGCATCCCCAAGGAAAAGCCGTCGGGGGTGGGGGGGGTGGGGGGGTGGGGGGGTGTGTTACACTCCACACTCATTTCCCTACAGAAGCCTCTGCCCACCCCCCGGGGAGTTTCTCTTCCTTCTTATTGTAAAGCAAAGAGAAACCCGTGTGTGTGGGACCCTGTGTCCTCCACCCACTATCCCAGAGGTGAGCGGGGACATCCTGCACGCTGGGCAGGGCCACCGGCAGCTTTGCCAGCAAGTACCAAACCTTGTGCTAAAGCAGAGTTCCTTGGGTTAGCCCACCCCTCAACCATCAGCTCCTTCTTCGTGAGAAAATATGATTTTAAATTTTTCAAGTCTCTTGACGGTGGTGGTGGGGGGGAAAGGATCTGGGCAAAATAAATAAACCCAGTTCTCAGCGATGCAAAAAGGCTCTGACCCATCGCAGACTCTTCTAGCCCATGACTTTACGTATGTGATGCTAAATTGGGCTGGTGGCTCCACTGCTGATGGAGTGATTGCCATGAAAGCCTGGCCATCGCCTTGGTCACCACCGTGCCCACCTACCCCTCAGCTTCCTAACGACAGCACATTTGGGGAAGAAACATGCCTTCAAAAGAAAAGTGAAATCGCTACGGTGATATGAAAAAAAGGGAATTGCGGGGTTTTGCGTGGATCTCCTGAGCTGACAGCCTGCGGGCAGCGGCTGTTTCCAGGCAGCTGGCTCAGCACTCAGCCCTGCCCGTCAGTGAAGCTGCGGCAGAGCTGGAGGGAGGAGAAATTTTCGCAGGTGTTGGCCCCAAGCCACCCTGGAGATAGGGCTGACACCCCCAGGCAGTTCGGAAAACTCCCCCATCGGATGCTTAGGGAGGTTTGCTGGAGTAACAGGCACCCAGAGCTGCAGGGGACTGACCCTCCAAAGCAAGAATAAAAGCTGGCGAGGAGCTCTGCAGAGCTCCGCGGCCCCAAAACCACCCGGAGAACTGTTGAACTGTTTTTTTGGGGAGTGGGGAAGGGATCCACGTCGCTGTGTCAGACCACTTGTCCCGCACCCTCCCGCTGCCTTGGAATGTGAGGGCTGGGAACAAAAAGGGACACCCAACCCCACGCCCGTGTCAAGAGCCTGCAGCAGATGTTTTTTGGGGTTGGACGATGTGACGAGAGGTTGTGTGGTCCTATTTGGGCTGCCTTTGAGCTCACCGTCACGCCGCCAGCCTGGAGCTTACCCACTTGGAAATGGCTCGAGTCCCCTGCACAGCCCTTGCTGGGCGCAGCCACCAGCAAAACGAAAGCCCCTGGGCTCTCGGTGCCTTCGCCAAGGGAAGGACAGCACCTGGAAGTGCCACAGGCCCCGTCCGCACGGCAAACGAACGCGGGGTTGCTTCTTCCTCAGCCTTGAAATTGCTTTTTGTGGTGAGCACCCAACTCCAGCCTGCCGAAACAAGATTGACCTCGTCAGGGTTCAGCGTGCCCAATGCACGTGCTTTCAGGGCATCACCCCCCCCCCCCCCCCCTTTATAATTTGCTGCACTCTGTATAAAATCCAATATTGCAATTTTTTTTCTTAACCAACATCTGGGGACAGCTGAAGACTCGTTTATGTTTGCTCCTCTCCATACTACACCTCCTCTGTGCTAGTGGTTACGAGCTAGCTGATGAGCCCGGCGCTGGGCCGTGCGGCGCAGTCGATGTTGCCTTGTCCTGGGAGGGAAAATACCCCATGTGAAAACACCAGCTCTTCTACTCCTCCTTACCCACCCTTGCAGCACCCGGACACCACCTCCCCTCCCTGCCCAAGCTCCCTTTCTCCACAGGAGCTGTTGAACCTCATCCCTGAGCAGTGACCCCGTCCCCAGCACACCCCTTCCCCTCCGCAGCACGTCTTTAGGGTGACATCCCAGCCCAGCCCGCCGTGGGACGCAGGGCTGCCCCACACTTACACGCTCAGCAAGTTTCTTTACGAGCAGCAGCTTCCTCTTTCCGCAGAGGAAGACCCAGATATCAGGCAGCGAGCCCGGTTGCAGCCGGGTGTCTGATCCCTGCCCGGCCCTCGAGGTCCTTCTGGCTCCACAAATATCTGAAGAGCAGCTTCTTCAGGCTGGCTACAAAGTCTTTGCTCCCTGCCAGTTAAGGCTTTGCAGCTCATATCGCTGAGACGTACTCGTGCCAGGCTCTGGAGAGAGCTAACAGGAGTTCAAATACGCACAAGACGACCTCAAGGGAAGAATCATCACACCCCTAAGGAAATAAAAATAAAATCCAACATGTACAAGTGTAGCTCACGGCTCTCCAAATCACTCTTTCTAATTTCAGAAGGCTGCTCCCCCTGGGTGTTGGGTACCACGGCTGCTACTCTTCTTGGGTGTTGGGGGGAGAGGTCTCTGTGTCCCACCTGCCCACAGCACCCTCATTAACGGGGCCATGAGGAGCGAAGCCTCATCGCTGCTGAGGTGAAGCCAAACACAACCAAGAGAACCTCCCCGGGGTAGCAGCTCTCCCTTGACGTGTGGCCAAGGGGTAGATCCTCACAAAAAACGGCCGGTGACACATGTCAGGGTGCCAACCGCCCCCTCCCCATCCCCACTGCCACCCACAGCCGGTTCCCACACACCCCCGTGACACCGTAGCCCCCCGTGTCCCCGTATCACCCCCAGACACCCATCCCTTGGCTCTGCGGTGGAGCCGGAGCCACCACGCTCTCCCTAGCTCGTGGAAATGAGGGATTATTCTGTCACACAGGACAGCACAGCCCCAACCTGCCCCATGGCTCTCACTGGGGCTTTTTTTTTTTTTTTTTTTTTTTTTGCTTTCTTTGCAATGGGCAAAATGCAGCTTTCCACACTCACTG